TATCAGAAAATCAATAAATGGGTTTATCATCATGTTCAATACATCTTTAAAAAGAACTGGAAGATAGTTCAGAATAATTCCAAACTGAAACTCAGATGAAAAAAAAGATGGAAAATAAAAGAAGATAAAGACGTACATGGTATGGTGAAAAAGTATAGTATTGACACAGCTGGAGTCCCAGAAGGAGAGGAAACAAAGCTTCAGGAAATGATAGTGGACATTTCTCCCTAGAGAATGCCTGGCTGGGTGCTGGGAGATTTTATGAGCCCAGCTTTTATCATTATCGCTGTGAATGTTTAGTCCGCTCCTGCTCTGAAGAAGGGTTGGGATTATTGGCAATATGCCTGGAGTCCAAATGCAGGAGTCCCCCAAGGTGGGTGGGGGGGCAGTGACAGAGGATGAGATGGTTGGATAACATCATCAACTCAATGGACTTGAATTTGAGCAAACTCCGGGAGATGGTGAAGGACAGGGAAGCATGGTGTGCTGCAGTCCATGGGATCGCAAAGAGCTGGACATGACTTAGCAATGGAACATCAAATGTTCCCCAAAGATCTCTTCACTCCTGGGGTGTTCTGCTTGGACTGCAGGCCTGAGAGTCTAGTTGGCACTAGCTGAAATCCCCAGTTTGAAAGTAGAATAAAGCTTCCTAAGGAAATAATATTATAAATAGATGTCGCGGTCTTCATTGTAGAGAGCTATAGTGCAGGGGCAAGCTTGGGAAAGAATCATGGTTTATTTAGAGCATTATGTCAACAGAAAGATGCACGCCTGAGTTTCAAAAGTTTGGAACCTAGCCATCAGCCGTCCTGTTGACGTGTTGGGGTGGCCTGTTATCACTCTGACTCTTGACACCCGGTCTGATTCCTTTGAAAGCTTAGGTCTGAATGTGTAAGTGACCTGGGAGCTTCCCAGGTGGTGCTAGTTAGAAAGAACCTGCCTGCCAATGCAGGAGATGTAAGAGACCCTGGTTCGATCCCCGGGTCGGGAAAATCCCTGGAAGGAGGGTATGGCAACCCACTCCAGTATTCTTGCCTGGAGAATCCCGTGGACAGAGGAGGCTGGCGGGCTACAGTCCGTGGGGTCTCACAGAGTCAGACACAACTGAAGCAGGTTAGCACACAACACAGCACAACCTATTAGGGAAAAGACTCTGACCAAGAATAGATACAGATACAGATGTACGTGTGTGTATGGCTGAGTCTCTGTGCTATACACCTGAGACTAACGATGAATGGCATTTTAAATCAACTATACTTCAATAATAAGGGAAGAATTTATGCTGACACTTCCTCAGTAGTTGGCAGTATGTCCCCCTCTCATTCGGGCAAGACCTAGCCCATGTGTCTTTAGGATGGATGACTCTCTTATGGATGGTGAACCTGGAAAGCAGTAGTGAAGGCCCTCCTCGTGGGTTTGAGAAGTGGACTTCTTTTAAGAAGACATTTACATCTGTCGGGGAGTTGATGTACCTGGTGAGAGCCTTTAGGGGTTTCACAGGACTCGGAAAATTGTGCTCTGACCCTCCAGCCTGCTGTGTGACCTCAGGGAAGCCACGCAGCCTCCTTCCCTGCAGACTCGGGGCTGGATGGGCTGTGACAATGTCCTGTCATCTCAGGAAGCGGAGCCAGCTTCCTTCCAAGGGCATTAAGTCCCCCGGAAGTCACAGGGCCCAGGAGAAGGGGTGAGCAGCCTGTGCCTCCTGGCCCTCCTCTTGTTCCTCTGATGCCTTTATCCACCCAGGAGTTGCTGCATCAGAGCTTTGCAATTTCCTGTGGGACAGGCATGATCCGGGGCGTTTCCCTCCTGCCTGTGTGTGTGTGTGTGTGTGTGTGTGTGTGTGTGTGACCGTCTGAAAGAGGTCCTGCAGGAAAAGGAAGTCACCCAGCCCAGTGATTCATGACAACTGCCCTGCATCCTGCTCTGCCATCCTCTGCCATCCGCGGGCAGGGCCTTCCCCTGGTGGCCGGTGGGGGAATGGCAGGCCCGGGAGCAGACCGTCCCCAAGCTGTCACAAAGCCTCTGACCCTACAAGATGATTTTGTTGTCATTCAGTCGCTCAGTTGTGTCCAACTCTTTGGGACCCCATGGACTGCAGCACACCAGGCTTCCCTGTCCTTCACTATCACCTGGAGTTTGCTCGAACTCATGTCTGTTGAATCAATGATGCTATCCAACCATCTCACCCTTTGTTGTCCCCTTCTCCTCCTGCGTTCAGTCTTTCCCAGCATCAGGGTCTTTTCTAATGAGTCAGCTCTTGGTAGCTGGAACCCTTGGGTAGAGCAAGTAGATGGGCTCCGAAATGTGCTCCATGGAGCAGAGTCCTGCCCATGAGAATGCCCCCTCGGGCTAGAGCCCTGGATGCCAGCCTCTCCCTTAGAGGACAAGGGTTCTGCTGCTGGAGGGAAGCTATCAAGGGGCCATTGTCCCAGCTGGGTACGGGGGAAGCCTGGGTGCAGCCCAGTTCTTCCTGTCCAGAGTCACTGGGTCTTCCTGTCCAGAGTCACTGGGGCTTCGAGGACTGCAGAGTGGCAGAGGTCTGCTCTTTCACAGGGACTTTAAGCTCAGCTGAGATGGGAAGGACGGGGCTGTGGTTTGGGGACACTGAGAAGCATTAGCTGGAGTCTTTACTGGGGATGCAGCTGGAAATAGCAGTTGCATCGATCTGGAGTTCGAGGGGCTGGTGTTTCTTTTCCATCATCACCTCTCTGAACTCTGCACATCGACCCAGTGCTGCAAAGATGCAGCGTCTGGTGAGGCTTTTTCCCGGAGCTCAGAGCCAGCGCCGGCCACGTGCTCCAGGAGGTGATACCTTCTGGACAGTGACCTTCTGATGAGGATCCCAAGCCCGAGGCCTTCCCGCCCTGGGCTTGCTAGGATTGTCCCCTGAATACGGGGGCGAGAGGGGACGCCCATAATTCAGATGCCGATGGTGTTTCAAATCTCATTTCATATTTCAGTGTCTGGAGAAAAACACCTTTATCTGAGTTTCAGCATTTTCTCCTTGATCTGTGGGCTTTTAACGTGAAACTTTGAAGAGAAGCTCATCACTGTCTTTTCCTTCTTGGGCTAGGTGTGTCTCTTTCCCCTCTCACTTCTCTGTCTTGAGTCTCCGTGGTCCTCCCAGAGCAGATCTTTCCACACACCCTGCATCTCCTCACTGTGCGGCCGGTCTCAAAGGGCAGTGTGGGGCAGGAGCTTTGTTCTCCTTCGTCCTGCTTTCTGGGAAATCTCTGGACTTCACCCTGAAACTCTTCCTTTGAAATTTCCATTTCTGTCATCATGTTTTTAGTTTCTGAGGGTCTGTCTTACTTTCTGAATGATCTTTTAAAAATGCATCTTGCACTTTTCTGTGGGTGTAAATCTCTGGTATTTCTTAGATGAGTATTTCTTTTTAAAAGATTAAAATGCATCTCCAGGGACTTCCCTGGTGGTCCAGTGGTTAGGAGTCCACACTTCCAATGTATGGGGCACAGTTTTGATCCCTGGTCAGGGAAATAAAACCCCGGCATGCTGCATGGCTTGGCCAAAAGAAAACAATAAATAAAAGGAGAATGTTTAAAAAAATAAAATGCCTCCCCAAAGCTCTGTTTGCACAGGAGCTGGTGGGTGGGGGCACACGTGGCCTCTAGTTGGGGAACTCCACGTGTTTTTAGCTGGGTCTGCGTGGGTTGGGGGGACACATTTGCCTCTTCCATCTGGGCTCGCATAGGGTGGGGTGGGGTGGGGTGAGTAGCGCCCCCACCACCACCACCACCACGAGCTGTGTGCAGGGTCGTGGGCCAGCCTGTGTCTGACACAGGTTTTCTGGAGTCAGCCTCCAGCATCCTTCAACATCCTCCCAGAACATTCCTTCTCTGGTCCTGTGGCTGGGGCGCCTAGGTGTGATTCTCTGCAGTGTTTTCTCTGATTCCAGCATTGCCTCCAGCTCTTGGTACCTTTGGGGAACGTGGGCGGGACTGACTTGCTCTCCCTGCTGCAGGCCCTTAGGCTCCAGCTCCTTCTTTCACAGTGACCTCACCCTCCCTCCCCCAGCTGTTCCTCTCTGTCCTCACTTGTCTGATGGGTTGTCTCTTCTCCCATCTCTTTGACCTGAATGTGTTTTTTTATTCCTTAAGCCATTTGACAAGGGATTTGGAAAGGACTGGAGAAAAATGCACTTGGGACTTCCCAGGTGGCACTAGTGGTAAAGAACCCGCCTGCCAATGCAGGAGACTAAGAGATGCGGGTTCGATTCCTGAGTCTGGACAGTCCCCTGGAGGAGGAAATAGCAACCACTCCAGTATTCTTGCCTGGAGAATCCCTTGGACAGATGAGCCTGGCCAGCTACAGTCAGGTCGCAAAGAGTCAGACCTGACTGAGCAACTTAGCACGCACACACAGAGAAAAATGCATGTGTCTGTTTCCTGTGTGTGAGTGGACCCCTTTCCTAACAGCTTTACAGAATTATTTAACAGAGAAAGAGCTGAGATGAGACCTTTATACAATTGAGCAAAACTGGAGGTTCTTATGCAGCCATCAGATTCTCGAGAGAAAATGATAAACATGCAATAATTAGAATTTATCGTTCTTACAGGATGATACCTAGAAAAATAGGTTACGTCTTTTTATTTTATTTATTTTATTTTTATTTTTATTTAGGTTACGTCTTTTTAGAGTGCTAAAGGTTTGAATAAAATCAGTTTCTACCAAAACAAAGTGATGTGTCGCCGTACTTCTTAAACCCCTCCCCAAATTTCCAAATTTCTGGAAGTAAATGTATTGGAACATGCCAGTTCTAGGTTAATTATTGTGTATAGATGGCACATGTTTCTGAAACTTACTTATAACATACTTCTTTTATGAAGGCAACACAACTTCATTGTCAGAAATTCTGGTATGAAATAGAAAATATCCCACGTCCCCCCAGCTGGAAGTAAGCTCCCCTGTACTGGGTTCTGTTTATACTGGGTCAGAATCCATGCCCATGGATTCATGGCTGTGTTCTCGTCTTCTTTCAGGACACTGGCGTGGGGAAGTCCAGCATCGTGTGTCGATTTGTCCAGGATCACTTTGACCACAACATCAGCCCGACCATTGGGTAAGTTCTCATCTGTTCTTCCGATTCACCTTTCATCCCTTCTAAGTACCCAGAGAGGTCACAGTGTCGGAGCCTTCGGGGGTGTTTATCCCAGCCAGGGAGACTCAGTCCCGACTGTGAAGACTTGGACACAATTCAGGGACTTGGGCGGTGTGTCCAGTCCTCCTGTCCCTGCAGTCCCCTCCACCTGGCACCAGCCGCCCTCACTGCCGCCTCGGGTTGTTTCCTTGATCTCTGAGTGCGTTACTCTGCAGATCATGCCGACTTTATCCCTGAAGGTCCTGCTTGAACTTGCCTGCCAGGAAACCTGGGAACGCGTCCACTCACAGCAGAGCCGTCTGCACGGCTCGTGGGCAGATTGATTTTCCTTTCCTGGCTTAATTCAGTGTCGGCATCTCTGTTCTGATGCTCGGGAGGGGAGGGGAGGGTTGCCCTCCTACCCCCTGCCCTGCCCAGACCCCAGCCTTGGGACGTAAGAGCACTTCCTGTTCGCTTTCTCCTTGCTACGGATGCCTTCACCAGATGTGCTTCTGCTGTGCTGTTTTGCAGGTGGTTAATTTTTCACCATCTTAGTATTTGGCCCAATGTGTTTTTCTCCATGAAGACAGCATGCACACTGCAGAGAGCAAGGTTTGGTTTTCCTCAGCAGGGAAACAACGGGTGTATCAATTTGGGGAACTGGGTAGGATGGATGAGGTCAGGGCAATGGCCTCCATCAGCCTTGAGTGGAGAAGATTCACGGCAGGGCACACAGCAAGCTTCTGACTCACAGCCATCGAGTCCACTGGGAGTCCACCCGCCTCCCACGGTGATTACTGCCTTGGGAAAGACCTCAGGCTGTGAAAGGGCATCGTTTCTGCACCGAAAGTTCATCCTTGTCGCCTGGTGACTCATGAGAAACCCTGACTGCTATTCAAGCAGATTGTCGGCATCATGAACAGACGTGTGCACCTCTCTTTCTAGTTTGACCTTTACAAGGACATCATGTTTCTTCTCTGCCAGATTTCTGCTTCCCTCAGGTAATGAAGCCAGTTCAGCATTGCTCACCCCCACTGCTCGGGAAGCGAAGACGCCTGAGAGTCTGAAGTTGAAAGCTAGCAAGGAGGCTGAAAAAAAAAACACAAAAAGAACAAAAACCCAACCAAAAGAGCAATGGTTGTCAGTCTTCATTTCAAACAGTAATCGTCTTTATCCTAGTGGCAGGAAATCAGGAACAAAGAGAGGTGTGTGCATGTGTGCACATGTGTGTGTCTGCACATGTAGGTGTGTGTGTGTATGCTCAGCCGTGTCCGACTCTTTGTGACCTCGTGGACTGTAGCCCGCCAGGCTCCTCTGTTCCTGGGATTCTCCAGGCAAGAATCCTGGAGTGTGTTGCCATGCCCTCCTCCAGGGGATCTTCCCGACTCAGGGATCAAACCCGCATCTCTAGCATCTCCTGCGTTAGCAGGCAGATTCTTTACCAGTTGAGCCAGCAGGGAAGCCCCACATATAGGTGAATACGTACATATGTATGGTATGATATGCACTGCTACTTTCATTAGAGCTGTTTCCCGCGGGCTCACTGTGTATCGATGGGGACCTCAAAGCTGTCATTTCCTCATTTGATCCTGAAGCAGCCCATAGATCACGCAGGGTGGATTTGGGGCCTATTTCACAGATAAGCAAATTGAAGGACTGTGACCCTCATTCCCCAAGGTGGCCTTGGGACTCTGTCTTCTCCCCTAAATGTGCTATCAGATTCTTTCTTGACCAGGGTCAAGGCTGTCTCTCCGGTCTCAGGCTTACCTCCGTTTTATCTGTAAAGTGAAAAGCGTAACCTGGGTATTATTTTTTTCCCCTAGCTGATAAAAGTCTAAGATTTTAAAGGCATGAACTTAGTTTTCTAAACCTGAGAACTTTTTCTGAGCAGAGTTGCTGTATTATTTACCCCATTGCCTAGAATATATTGAAGAACGAATGAAAATCTGATTTGTTTTTTAGTTTCTAAGTGACTTGTTTAGTCGCTAAGTGACTTGTTGTTTAGTTGCTAGGTCGTGTCTGATTTTCTGCGACCCCATGGAATATAGCCTGCCAGGCTCCTCTGTCCTTGGGATTTCCTAGGCAAGAATACTGGAGTGGGTTGCCAGTTCTTTCTCCAGGAGATCTTCCTGACCCAGGATTGAACCTGCATCTCCTGCATTGTGAAGCAGATTCTTTTTTACTTTACCACCGAACCACCTGAGAAAAATCTGAGTTACATCAATGTAAAAACAAAAATAAGCATCAAGACAAAATGTTGATGTAGCTGTCTACATACAATTTTAAAAAGCATTTTTGGAAAATGTTCAATAAGCCAAGTTAAAGGGCAAAGGTTAAACGGGAAAAAATTTTTTAAAAATATATTGTTACAAAAAGTTGTATAAAATAGTCAAAAAGGACACAAGAAGCGGGATGACCATTCCTGCTTAAAAGTAGGCAAAGGTCATGAACTAAAGATTCACAAAAGGAGAACAACTGAACAGTGAACACTAAAATGATGTTCAGACACACAGATTTCCTGTGTGTCATCCTGGAGCAGATTCGAAAGGCTCTTGTTTGGGGAAAAAGTCATCTCATACATTTCAGTGGGTGTATATGTACGTACAAGCTACCATTCGTTGAGCATAGCAATGTGGAGAATATATGCTTCTAAGAAGTCCAAAGAGTAGTTGTATGAGAACACAAAGATTCAGGTACAAGGATATTCATTTAACCATTGTCATAATAGTGAAAAATAGGTGATCCTGACATGGTGTGTAATATGCAGTCACCAGGTAATGATGCTGATCTATAGTCACAGAAATAGAAAGATGTCCACGATATATCAAGTGCAGGAGAAACGAAATGGGGATAAACGTTGTGTCAACACCATTTGGAAGACAATACCAATTTATTAGCAGTGATTATGGCTGGGTAGTGAAATTTTGATTTTTGGAGTATATTTGCTGTGACGAGTAAGCTGGGACGTACAGTTTAAGAATTCTTTAAGAAATGAAATGTCATGCGGCAGATGCGATTTTGATCATGTTAGGTTATATCACTTAGAATATAAGTGATATTGCTCAGAATATCGCTTAGAATTTCCATCTAATGCAATTGTGTGTTGATAATTAGAGCTCGCTGACTATTCACCTTGGTGTTGAGTCCATTGTGGGGACAGTCATGGGACCTGCAGGGACGAATATCTTCCTCCCTGGAACTTCTGTGGTCTGCCCTTAGTCTCAGGGAAGAGTAGAAATTGAGGAAATTTTACCTGGATGAGCACTGAGTGGTTGCAGGCTTGGACCCTCGCTGGACCGTGAGGGCCCTTGGGGTCCATGAAAGTGAGGGAAGACATCCTGATGCTTTACCCCTGCAAACTCCAGTGTGCATCCTGAGAAGAACCAGAGGAAGACACCTTTATTGTCCCTAGAAAGTGAATTTGGTTCAGTGATCATATCTGACATAGAGTCTAAATTTCCATTTTTCCAGTTGTCCTCAAAACGTCTTTGGAGTGCTTTTCCCACTAACCCAGGGTTCAGTCAAGGTTCATACAGCGCATTTGGTGGGTTTGTCTCTTTCCTCTCTCTTTATCTAGATTCTAGAACACCCCCCCATCTTTGGTTTTTTCACTTTTCATGACAGTGACTTACTCCAAGCATTCGGGCCTGTCATCTGGTAGAATGTTCCCTGTTCCAGATTTACTGGATTGCGTCCTCACAGTTAAATTCACATTAAACATTTTTTGGCAGGAACTCTGTACAGGTGAACAGGTGATGCATGTACTGACCACACCACATCAGGAGGCTCCTCGTGTCTGCTTCTCCCACAATCAGAGGCTTGCTGTTGTTTAATGAATGGGAAACTTTATCACACAGGAAAAAAACAAAAACAAAACCAAGGCTACTCAACATTCCTTGTGTTAGACTTTTACATCTTTTCTGAGCACTGAGGAAAAGCTTAAGAGGAACTATGCAAAAAAGAAAGTATCAAGTGTTTCATTATCTACTGAGAGTTTCAAATCCTCCGTTTTTCGTGGAGAAAACAAGTATTTGTTCATCTACCCATCTTTATCCCTGCACTTGCAGAAGCAGGATTGAGAATGAGACACAGTGTTGTAGTGGTTGCTGCCAGTGCTGGGGTCATAGAGCAGGGAGTATGCACCACTGTTTACACCTCTGCAAGGCCCACACTCTCATGTGCCTGGATACAGCCGCTGTTTTCACTCTTAATTGTGGTGATGATACATTTTTAAAATCTAAGGTTTTCTTTCCTGATTTCAGGCATCTAATGTCTTAGGACTGTTGAAGATAAGTGTTTTGAAACACAGTGTTCTGAATACACTTTTTGCCTCCCCCCACCCAAGCCCCCTGTTGGACTAACAGAAGAGGTGGGATTTCTTCTTTGGGGTAACAGGTCCTCTTTCCTCTCCATGGCCTCTAGAGGAGAGCCGATGGGGTCCTGACAAGGCCCCGCCATCACAGGAGTCTTCGTGAAGGTCGCAGGGGTGATCGGTAATGTGCCAATGTCGCTTCTCTTTTTCAGGGCGTCTTTTATGACCAAAACTGTGCCTTGTGGAAATGAACTTCACAAGTTCCTCATCTGGGACACTGCTGGTCAGGAACGGGTAAGGACACGCTGCTGCTGGCTTCCTGGGGAAACGATGCCAAACAGCACTGGTTTCTTTGTATCTGGCAAGACTTGGTGACTAGTGATAGAAACCCAGCTTCAAATGAGTTAAGCAGGAAAGGAAACGCGCTCTTTAGGCATGAGGAACAGGAAGGGGCTGAATCCCATCCCTGCCAATTTGCCGGCAAAGCTGCACAACCCTATTCCATGTTCTTTGCTTGCTGACCTTGAAATTGACTTCTTTCTAGGCGGACCCCCTGGCCATCAGCACCCCCAGAAATAGAGCAGCTTTTCCCAGGCCTGCCCTGGGGACTCCTCCTCTACCTGGTCTGAGCCATGTGCCCAGGGGATGTGGCGCCCCTGCTGGCGGGGCCGGGGAGTGCACTTGCCCCTGGCGGTGGCTGCCTCAGTTCCACCCGAGTCCCGTGGCCTGGGAGCTGGACAGGCTTTGTTCCCTGAAGTCTGGGTTCCCATCCTGGGAAACGGGGGAATGGGTACTGGGTTACCAGGAACAATGGACGACGGCTTTCTTATTCCTGTTGTTGTTCAGTCGCTAAGTTGTGTCCAAGTCTTTGTGATCCCCCCTGGACTGCAGCATGCCAGGTTTCCCTGTCCTTCACTATCTCCTCCCATCTCTGATTCCTAATTCTTTTTATTTCCTGAAAGTATTTATGGAGACGATAACTCAAGAAGCTCACATCTCTAGATTTTAAAAAGTGAAGTAATAGATACCTACAGACTGTCTCAAGCAGGGAATGTGTGTAATAACTAGGGCATATGTTATCAGAGTTGAGAGGAGTGGCCTGGATGGGTGAACACAGGGCTCACCAGTACCTTCTCTTAACCAATCAAAACTGGCTCCAGAGCTGGTTATCGCAGAGTAAGACGGGTTGGACTTGCCCTGGTCTGTTCCCAGCTCAGATGTCACCATCACTGCCCTCCCCATTTAGAATGCTGGCACTTCCTCACTCCCCACCCCAACTCACTCCCTTCTTCTCCACAGCCCTTACTGTGTGTGTTCAGGTGCCCACTTGTCTTTGGGACCCCATACACTGTAGCCTGTCAGTCTCCTCTGTCCATGGGATTTCCCAGACAAGCATCCTGAAGTGGGTTGCCATTTCCTTCTCCAGAGGATCTTCCCAACCCAGGGACTGAACCCATGTCTCCTGCATTGGCAGGCGAGTTCTTTAACCACTGCACAACCAGGGAAGCCTCTTCACAGCCTTCACCACCCTCTAATATGCGCCTCAGTTCGCTCATCGATTCTGTCAACCGTCTCCCTCTCACAGGAGAATCCAGGACTCAGGATAATCCATCGTTTTCATTATCAGCTCCTCACACAGCAAGTGTGTGTGTATACTAATTTCATTTTCTATAAATCCCCTCTTAAAATGAACATTCCAGTGTTTGTAGATGAAGCTGTCTCAGAGGTTTCCTTTCCTTTAATGAGGATGAATCTTCTGGCCTCAAATGGTACCTACCCTCGTTAGAACATCTGCTACTTCACTGTGGAATTGAGAACTCAGATTAGCACACAGGAAGCTGCCACCTGGGGCCCTTCTTTCTCTCTGACCGTGGGCCATACCCATTCCCAAAATTAGGGGGCTGGAGTCCAAGGGAAGTGACAGCATAGGAGTCTCTTCTCTATGTCCCTGTATGTTCTCTGTAGCGATTGGCTAGATTTCTGTTTTTGGAGTTGGGGGTTTGTTCCTTAAGCAAAGAGGTTTTCTTCTTCCCCATTTTACTTTTGCTCATGAAACAGTTGCTTATGCAGCTGCTTTTTCAAAAAGACTTTTATTAATTTATTTCTGGCTGTGCTGGGTGTTCCTTGCTGTGCTCACGGGCTTTTCTCTAGTTGCAGTGAGCAGGGGCTGCTCTTTACTTGTGGTGCACTGGCGTCTTCCTGCAGTGGCTTCTCTTGTGGCAGCTCCTAGGCTTTGGAGCACAGGCTCAGTAGTTATGGCCCGCAGGCTTAGTTGCTCGGCGGCATGTGGGATCTTCCTGGACCAGGGATCGTAGCTGTGTCTCCTGCATTGGCAGGCAGATTCTTCACCACTGAGCCACCAGGGGAGCCCCTTCGGCGGCTCTTCTCGAGTGTCATGAGTCAGTTTTACACAGAGGCAGCGTTGCGGCTCCTCCTGCCGCTGCATGTCCTCTAGGCTGTGCTCAGGGCCTTCTGTGCACTAATGCGTGTGGCTCACTCATGGCACTCGGCTGGGGACTGTCTATCGCCATTTACAGGCGAGGTCACCCAGACTTAGAGAGGTTGAGTAACCTGGTCAAGACCACACAGCTAAGAAGGTATAAAGCAGAAATTTGAATCCAGCAGTCTGGATCCTGTGATTGATAGTTCTGTTTTGATGGGAAAAAATCGCACAAAACCACACAATTAAAATTATCCCAAATCCCACGGCCCAGATATTTCTACTGTTGACATTAGGTGGCCATTCTCCAGGTAGCTCACTCTGTGTGTGTGTGTGTGTATGATTATTTCGTATCGATGGAATCCTGATTCTTTATAACCTGCCGTTTTCACTTGTGTTGAAGTGTCCCTAGAGGGAGATTTCTGTGTGATTGAAGCAGGGCTCTTGATCCTGACTTACCTATTCTAATAGTCATGAGATCAACTACTTTGGGTGAAATTTGGCTCTAACGTGACTATCAGAGTTTGGAGTCTGGCCCACTTAGCATTTCAAAGCAAAATCACCGTAACATTTCTTTCATAGGCCTGTATTTTTAATTATTCTAATTGCTTTTCTAAAATTTATCTCTCAGGTTGTAGATACCTGTGATTATATCACTGTGTCTATAATTTGAAAAGCATAAGCCTCATATTAGGGATTCTTCTTATACTCCAGGGAAGAGGGCTTGGGTTTGGGTGGTCATTTCAAGTGAATCCAGGTTTGTGGAGCGTGAGTGGACAGAGTCCGCCTGACCTCGTGGCTGTGGGTCCCTCTGGCCCTCGACAGCTTGGCGTGTTACCCCCGGGCTGACCTTGTCTCGTCCCTCCATGCAGCCTGCTCTCGCGCCAGTGAGGGCAGTTTCTCAGTCGTTTTGGCAGCTTCGTGCTGGACTTAATGGTGCTTGTAATGACGTTGCCTCATGTTTGAGCTAAAAATAAATTCCCTGCTGTTGCTGGTGCGGATTGCAGTCGGTTCTCTCATTAATCGTTCGAGTCCAGTGCATTTTATTTTCCCTCCTTATCATTGTAGAAATCTACTTCTGTTCTCCTTAGTTTTCACAATGCTAAACCCAATCTCTTTGGATTTATGAGTTGACCGTATCAAGACAGATTTAACTGCTCAGCCCGGTGCTCTGCATGTGATGATTCCTCAAAATGGGACCACGTCTGCGTCTGCCTGGCACACATAGCAGTCCTGTCAGTGTCCTACTTACTATGGTGCTGAGTCTACATTAGATGTGGCACAGATTCGTACTCTCCAAGGATGAGTTTTCCCTCTGAGCACTGAAGATGTAAAAGGATCCTGGTCTCCTCTTCTTATAGAAGAGTGCATTCATTCTTGACATGTCGTATTTTGCTTTTAGTTCAGTCCTGTATGATGGACGTCCTCCCATTCTTTCAGTGGCAAATGGTAATCCATCGAGTGCCTCTGTAAAAGTAATGGTTAAAAAAATGTAAGCATTTCCAGTTGATTGTTGAATCCAGTTTTTTAAAAGCTTACTGTTTTGAGATTTGTGAATTGACTGTGCTGCTCCCCAGGGGAGTGTTTCAAGAGAAGAGTGCCCTGTTGGGGCTTGGAGGCGGCTTCTGGGGTGTCCGTCCTGTCCTGTTCGCAGGGGTTGTCCTATTGGTTTCTGCTTCATGCTGACGGGTGAGGAGGGGCAGCGGTAGGTCAGCAGAGCCTCTAGCAGGATGCTGTCAGGGACTGGAGCTCAGAGAGAGCCCCAGGGAGAGAAGGGAATTTATCTGCTGAGCTCTGTGGTCCCAGCTCCCATTGTCAGGATTTGTGAGGGGAAATGAGACTTCTGTGCCAGGGTGTCAACTCATTGCTTCCTTCTGAGTTTCCTGTGATTTCCTCCTTTGTTCTTTCATTTCACCTCGGGACCGATTATCCTCATTGCTACTGAATATCATAATGTGAGATTTACCTTTCTAGATGTATACTTCCAAATCTTTCTGTGACTGCTTTAAAACACAACCACAATCTATAGAATAACTCTATTAAATATGTCAGCATCCTGGGAAAATGTCAGGCTTCCTTCTCCTGGTCTGATCCATCAGAGCAGCATTATTTTAAGAATCTAACCCGGGGAAAAAATGAACATCATCTTATTCTTTTGTTTCATTTGGTTAGAGTCATCATTGTAGTTGTCTATCTTTCCTAGTGGGCTTGTTGTTTAGTTGCTAAGTTGTGTCCTACTCTTTGTGACCCCATGGACTATAGCCCACCAGGCTCCTCTGTCCATGGGATTCTCCAGGCAAGAATACTGGAGTGGGTAGCCATTCTCTTCTCTAGGGGATCTTCCTCACCTGGGGATAGAACCTGAGTCTCCTGCATTGCAGGCAGGTTCTTTACTTGCTGAGCCACCTGGCAAGCCTGCTCATTCCCCTCCTTGGGCTCATTTCCTCCCATCTCCCACAACTTGGAAGCTTAGGTAATGGGATCATAGACGCTAGGATGCAGCTGAGAAAGCCGTGGCCTCAATATTGGGTCTGAATGGGTCCTTGGGTAGGAAAAGAGAATCGAAGACAGCAAGTTCAAGGTCAAGTTCAGGCTCTTTACAAACATCAAAAGAAACTTTTGCTCTGTTTCCTTCTTTCTTAGGGCCCTGGAGTTCGTGGTCAGGAAAGTGGTTCACTATTCATAGGCTGTGGCTTAAGTCAGAGGAAAGTTTGACTTTCAGGCGTCGTTGAAGAAAGAGGCCTCTTACGGGCTCTGAATGAGCTGCTCTTTGTTTTCTCCCCCGCTTGCCCTACAGCCCCTGGAGAGAGAGGCCAGCTCCCAGCGCTGCTGGAGGGCGAGGGGCTTCACCCTC